GTTTATCACCTCCTTTAAATATTGGACTAACATTAGCCAACTTCCAATCTTCTAATACTCAATGAAAGAATATTTCACAGTATACTCAATGACCTATAAAAAAATATTAGCTAGCAGTTCACAAATAAAATCTTTAAATTTAAATTTAATGTATGTATGTGTTGTACATATATAAATATACACATAACTCAACATTTTGAACTAACAAAATGACAGAAAAAAGTTGAAGTAGCTTTAATCAAAAACTTTAAACATTTTAAACTATTAGTGATATTAATTTACATTTTGAACAACTGAGACAAACAAACACAGATGTTTGAAAATGCAATTGAAAAAAAAAATCAGTCAGCTTATCAACAGAGCTGGGCAATTAGCAGAAGGTGCTAAATGATTATTTTTGGGATTCATTAACTGATTACATTCAACTAAAAAAATCATCCTCACATTAGACTGATAGTTGGAACAATAGAAAATAATAATAATTGGAAACACTAGTTCCAATTAGTCAATAATTTTCCAAGTTGTGACACTTACTAAGCTGAAAAACCTTGAATTCAACAAAGATAATAATGAAAATATTTTAATTACTTGGAGAGTTTAAATAAGGAAAGCTGTAATAATTGGAAATTAATTTTGGTTAACCATTTTCATAACATTAATGGATTTAATTCCATTTTCAATTAACTGATTATTTTACACAACACTAATCAATATTCATAGATAATTAATTACATCAATTAATTGAGTTAATTACCTAGCTCTACTTGCCAATATTTTAACAAAAAAGTTAATTAAAAACCTATTTTCAAGATTAATTTCAAGAAGCACCTATCAAACATTTTAGCTTCCAAAAAAATATTGAGAAATTACCATTGTTAGCAGCATAAGAAGGACAGAAACTTTTATTCTGTTGTTCAAAGCAGCACTGAAGACTCTTCATGTAGTCTAAGTAATCATCCAACCAACTTGCTGGCTCTGCTGCTATGTATGTTCTGAAGGCAAGAGAGACTAAGTCAGTATATTGATAAGAGTTGAACATTTTATTTCATAACTGAGCCATAAATACTGCACTATAATAAGTCATACTTACTTTAGGTGTTTCAAAGCTCTGCTTAGCAGCAGATTCATACATCAATAATATAGTATTTTTATAAATTTATTGTCACAAAATATATCTTTTAAGCCCAGAAAAATAGTTATAAACAGAAAATTTGCCTTTTATTTTATACTTATCAAATAAATATAAACTGTAATCACTTAATATGCCAGTTACCACAAAAACAACAACATACATTCAACTTTTGCTCATTTCAGCTATTATGGCAATACAACTTTTATTTTTTCCATACAGGGTCAGTGGATTATACCGATCTTGTAACCTCAAATGGTATCTTATAACATGGTATCTTTACGAAATTTGGCAAGCTTTCAGTAAACATTACGAGTCATTTGCATAAAAAAAACATCTGCTTTTTTTAATTAAATATTTTAGCTAACCATTTGTCTGTGAATATATGGAGTCAAAATGTTGATTGCTTTGAGTGCAAAGCGATTTTCATTTAAGATAAAAAATATATTTTCTTTATCTGTAGATTAAATTTCGTTTATGTAGCCTCTAAAACCTCATAAATAAATCTCAAATGTTTTTTTTAAGTTAAACTTTATATTTCATTATTTTCTCTTCCCTAACTCTGTATGGACTCAGTTGATTGTACCAAACTTGTAATCACCACAAAACAAATTCTATATAAATCAAAATTACCTTTTTTCTTTCTTTCTAGAATAACTGCAAATTGTAACAGGAAACTACTTTTGTTTATCCTAAATAGCTTAAGGGTCGTAACAGTATACATCCAATTCTACTTAATCTTATTGTTCTTTGAACTGTGTCTAGCTATTAATCACTCACCAAACCATACTGAATGACACAACACACAAGCTACTCATGAGCATACCTTGTGGAGAATTATTGTTATTATTCATTACCTTACCTAATCTAACCTAATTTTTGCATTTTAGTTACTTTTACAACAATAAATAAAAAATATATATGAAAAACAAGAAATATAGTACTTATCTTTGACCTCATTTTTTTGCTGTCAGTTACCAATGAAATTTAAGTAAACAATGACGTATAAATTTTATAATTTAAGTGGCTTTCTAACTATCGCATAAGAATCTTAAAATAATTCTATATGTTTCTCGATCTGAACATCAGAGAAATTTTCAAAATGAGGACAAAATAGACAATACTTTGTATCAAAAACAACAATATAATAATTCATTTGATAGATTAAACTTTGTCTTTCTATTGGTTATTAGTGATATAAAACATGAGAGAGAATTACTGGCAATTTGTGAAAGAGAAGATGTTTGTGTGTCATGTACACAAAGAAGATTAAGACTATAAAATTAGACTTTACCTTGGTATAAACCTATATTATAACATGTAAATTATGTTAAACTCTATACTTCAGAGAGGAATGATAAATAATTTAGAGAAGAGGGAAGACCTAGAGAACAAATATCAATTCTTATACTAGGGGAGATTGAAATTTTTAAAAATATTTTCTTATAAAATTAAGGACTTAAAACTTATATAATATTAAAACTTGATTTACTAAATATATTTTGATGCTAAGTTCATTCATAAATATTGACCATAAAGTAGTTTAAACAAATTTTGAACATAATTCTGTTAAGAGATGTGACACGTTAACCTATCTGTTGTGAGAGGGTTAAAGTACGAGTATTCTAACATTAATAGTTACCATAACAACTTACTTTTCACTAATGTCTGCTGCTCCCTTGAGTTGCATGAACAAGCTGTCATTTCCACAGGAAGGCAATGAACAAAGTTGGTTTTGGTGGTTTATATCAGAGTAATTGTAACCATCTGTGATGACAAAGTAGACAGGAGGTCCCACTGATAAGTATTGATAAATGTACTTGAAGTAATTTAACATGTAGGAATCCTGTATGAAAAAAAAAAGGGACATATAAAGTATATTGACCAAAACTTAATGACACTTCAATAAAGAGTAAACACTTTTTAGATTGTATTGTTTCTACACATCTTCATTCATTTACAGAAATATTTAATTCTTATGTTTCAGTAGTAGTTTAATAAATCTAACCACATATAGAACAAAGTGTCTTTTTAGTCATCATTCTGTATGAAATCAGGATCTATGAAATAGTTTAATCTTATCTGAAAAATAATAATAAATAAGCCACATTAGATGTAAAGCCCCCCCCACCATTTTCTAATTTGTTTCTTATCATTGAAAGATCAAAACCTGAAAATATACAAACATTATATATATATATATTGTTTTACTTTATGTACACAGGATCTTTTCAGTTTCTAAGGCAACTTGAGAATGATATACGAAAACATTAACTTATAGACTTCACCAATAATACATGGCAGAAGCTGTATATCAGTTGTGACATAGTAAAGAACTAAATATGTTAACAAATGTAAAGTTATTTTCCCCTTCTATAAATACAACACCTGATGTTTTATTACTTAGTATTAGAAATTTAACATATTACAGATCATATTTAACATGATGTAATATCTTAAATTAAATGACTATGATTCAAAAAAATAGAAAATGCCAAGTCCCCTACCTCTGGCATAGAAAGATCTTGGTCAAACCCAATATCAATCTTGTCTATCACAGCCATTGAAGAACAGAACCAAGCCAAGAAAGCCAAAAGCTGGTAAAGATATAGTACAGTTTATATTGAATAGGAGAAAACTTTGTTGTCAATATGCATATAAATTATCCACTTGCTCACCCTCCTAATGATATTTATTTAAGCTACAAAATATTTCTAACAGATAAAAAAAATTGTTGTCACTTACCACCACAAATCGAACAAAGTTCTTCATAAGGAAAGGAGCATAGATATTTTTACAAAAATTGAACAAAAGACTGTGTGAAGCTTTGGTTTTCTTCATTTTCTTTGAAGCCTGGATGCAGCAACATAGATCCAAATGATTGTTCTGATTCAAAATATTTAAAGTTTTTAAACTTCTATATATATCTATTGAAAATGTCATGTAAATGAAACATTCAAAACATCTAATAACTCATAAAAAAATATTCAAAGCCTCGTAGTTAGACACATAGAAAGGACTTTTTAACACTGGGAAACTATGCTAGACAAAGTGTGATTATTATTTTACAGAGTTTATAGTTTGTTTTTTTACTTAACTGCAACTATTTCTGAAAAATACGAGTAACAATTCCTATGTGATGCCAAATATTTATAACTAAATAATACTTTAATTTGTTGATTCAATGTGACAAATAAATTAAAACTTGATTTTGAAACATTGCTTTAATGCACATTTTAACTAAATCAAATTGAATAGCTTGTTTCTCTTACACTATACTTCAACTATACCTCTTGTCTTTTGGCATCAAGAGTAAAAAGTCCAAGGAAACAAGTCATCTGAAGAAGGAAATTGATTATAAGGGCCACTCCAGCATATAGTGCAAACAGTTTAACAGCTGGCATCTCAGTCAGGGCTCCTGTAAAACACATGAACCATGACATAAAGAAATACAAGAACAGAACAAGAACTTGAAAAATCACAAACACTTATCATCCTACTGAAGTTTCATTTTCTAATCTTATAAACTCAAACACAAATTTTTATAGTTAAAAAATGTTTCACTTATAGAATACTATCTTATGAATGAAATAAAATGAAAATTATCCTACCAATAAAGAAGCAGCTGGACATAGACAGACTAGATAGCATCATACTGGGTGCTACTTCACCAACAATACGGCCAATTTCTTCTTGCATTGTTTCGTGTGGCAGTCGTTCATCTCTCTGAAAACAGAAGTTTATAAAAGAAACAATACTATAATCTACTTATAAACTTTTCACTTGAAAAGGTCTTCATGGTCTTGAATACATGTACTAGTAAAACTGTAAATAATTCACGTGCTGGGATAAGTACTACACACAATTTTTAAACAAAAAACTCTTCCAAAAAGAAATCTTTTAACGATACTAAACTGTACTTAAGTTAATAGTCATGTTAAGAGATGAAAATCATTGTTTATAATGCTTACCTGATAAGCTTGTACTAGAATAAAAATATTGTCCACACCCACAGCCAACACAAGGAAAGGTATCACCTCTATAATAATCAATGTTGCTGGCACTCCTACACAGCAGAAAATTCCAAGAGAGGACACCACTGACAATAACACAATTACAACACCAGCCAGGCCCAGGGAGATCTTGGAATCAACCTAAAAAACAAAACATTCCAGTGTTAATATAACAATTATTTGAACAGAAACAAATATCTTTTCTTTTACCTATCGATTAATAAGTTTATAAATTACCTGTTCCAACATTATCACAAATTAAATGCACCAATTATTTCAAAGTATTTCTGCACATTACTAATAATCAGTACATATTCAAGGTAGACATCAAATATTAAACTTTTTCTATTGTATATAACTGAATAGTATTTAAACAAATTTAATTGCCTCTATACATTTGTATATGAAGAAATGGTTAAGATACTAAATAAACTAGCTTTAATTAATTTTGATACTATTGTAGACATACTAAAAAATATTCATTCATTGGCTAGAAAGCAATTACACAACATTCTATTAAACTTTCTGAAGGTGATTGTTACAGGGTATTGCATCAAGGAACACAAAATGTCTACCAGACTACATTTTTAACCCTTCCTGGACTGGAAGGTGTAACTGATATCCCTTGATTTTTTTTATTCTTATAGTGAAAATACTTAGCCAAATTCCATGAAATGTAGTAATTACAAACTTACTAAATACTATCTAGATTTGGCTTTTAAAATGGATATAATTTGATTTCATTTTTCTATAATTTTTTTTTCTAGTGAAAGTTAAAACATTTTGTGGTGACTTTGTTTTGAGAAAACAAATAAACTTCCTTTCATTTTAAAATTTTAATTTTTTAATGTAAATCAGAAAGTTTCATTTTATATATCCAATTGACTTGATTGATATTAATGTATTTCTTACAATACTTTTAATTTGTAAGTAGCATTAGTCACCAAACAACAACACAGAAACCAACAAAAATTTACTTGTGAACTATGATAATTATAAACCTAACAATAATATGTAATAAATAAGAATTGAAGGTACATTAGTCTTCAGAATATATTGCTGTCACCTACCATACTCTCTAAACCTAATTAGGCTACATAGAATTATATATAGCATTTGGTAGGATAATAAATGAGAAGACATACAGAGAGATCACTCTTTTTGCTGATATTTCTCTTTTCCATTAAAACAAGATACATTATATGTAGGGCTTCTGATTTTTTGATTTTAACATACAAACTGTAGCTACATTTATGACTACAATACCTTGAAATATTACTCTGAAGGAAAAGGAATATACTTCATCTGTTAGTAGTAAGTTCTTTGGTGCATTATTTAATGCACTACTACCATTAGTATAAAAAAGTAAGGTTAAGTGTCATCGGCAGTTGATAGCAAAAAAAGAAAAAGAAAGTCTAAGTAAGAACTTTACTTCCTGTTTTTCATGTGTATATTTATTATTATAAAAGGAACTAAAATGTAAAAATAGGAATCTCTAAGTTAGTTAAGCCAAATAATGAGGCATGCATGTAAGCAGTATAGAGTAGCTCATGAATAATGTAATTCAATAATGTAAAATGAGTCACATGTTCCCCAAATTATTTACAACTTAAAATGGTGCAGATAGTAGTTAGATACAGTTCAACATGCAATAAAACAATAAAATATAATTATAAATAGATGTATACTGTTACTAGTTTAAAGATACCTAGGATAAACAAATGTAGCTTCATGTTACAAATTGCAGTCATTCTAGATAGAAAAAAAAAAGAGTAATTTAGATTTATTTCAATTTTTTTCGGGGGTTATTACGAGAATGATCAAATTGACCAACTTTGTATAGAGTTAGCGTAGAGAAAATAACAGATAAAATACAGTTTACTGAAAATAAATGTTTGAAATGTATTTAGGAGGTTTTAGAGATTAAGCAAATGATATTTGAAATTTTTGAGATGAATTATTTTTAATCTTAACATGAAAATCACTTTGCACTTGGACTAGTAAAAAAAAAGAATCAATATATTCATGGACAAATCTTTTTTAGTTTCTTCAAAATACTTCACTAAAAAATCTGATTTTTTGTATATGAAAAACTTGTAATGTTTACTGAAAGTCTGCCAAATTTTGTGAAGATACACACAATATATTATAAGTTAGTAGTATCAAAACAATAATGATTTTAAATGAGTACAAAGTGGTGACATGGTCGGTCAATTCAAGCCCCTGTAGAAAGAGTTAAAATAATAATTTTCTATCAATTCTAAAAAAATAAAGAACAATACAAATGTAATAGTATTTGACTTGGCACTATAAACTTACTCCTGCAGTATCTATCAAAATCAAAATTTGTAATCAAAGAAAGAAGACTGACCAGCACAGTCTTGCAGCTATTTACTTCTCCTAAAGCAATGGCAATGTACGCAAACATGATAACATAACTAATGGCTATTGTTATGATGTCTGAATGGCTTCCCCTCTCTAGTTCATCTTCAATGGACCGCTATATAAAACAAGAGAAAAGAACTGTTAATAGGGCTGGAAACTCCATACCAGGCATCACTTTAATAACTTATGATTGCATTAAAATATTACAATATTTTCATAACTTGAATTCATTAAATTGTTTAAAACATTAATTTTAGACAACAGATGTGAAGTTTGTTTATTGCAAAAGCACCCTTTAAAACTATAAAATCAAAAGTGAAAAATATTAGTTTGGTTTTTATTTAATACATTACAGAGTATTAAAAAAAAAGTCACTAATAAATAACATCTTGAGAAGGCTGAAGAAAATACATTAATGAGGCAGCTACAGCTTAAAAAATAAAACAGCTATTTTTAATGATGGAAAATAAAATGTATAAAACCAACCTCTGCTTTAAATGCTACAGTCATGTTTGGGCTGCTGAAGTTTTTCATAAAGTCAACAAACCTAATGGAACAAAATAACATTTATTTATCTTTAAAAAAAAAAAGTGTGTAAGCATACATAAAATTATACAATAATATAATTTATTTCTGGTTCATTTTGTTAATTTATAAAGCTATGGTAGAATTAACATGGAAAGATCCAATATGATAAATTTTCAGATGTTCATTAAAATTCAAACAATGATATAGACATACTGATTTCCAATATGGTCAGAAGCACCAACTTGAAAGAAGGAATTAAAAATAAATTAAGGTCAATTTATCTTCAAGAACTTAAAACTGGTCAACAGGCTTAATCTTAAATTTATTCTCTTTTAACAATGAATACTGTAACAGATACAAAAACTATTGTATAATAATCCAATTTCCAAGACCTATAAAGAGCATGGTCACATTATTTAATTTATTACTGTGTTGTATTGACAACATTAAGAACATACATAGGTTAAAAATAAAGATAAAACACTGAACAAAAAACTCAATAATTCAAGTATATTCAGAAGGTATTTAGGAAAGTAAGTATCTCTCTGAAAGTAAGTATTTCTTCTAAACAAGAATGGGTTATTTGGTTTCTTAACATATGTAATTTTTCAGACTTTAGGTTTTCTCCCAATTTATTCTCAAATTAATTAGAAGTAATACCTATCTTCTTAAACTTTGGAAGTTATCTAATATGGCCAAATAGTTGTTAGAGAAAGAAAGTTTCTATATGCTTTCAGAATAACAATTTGTCATTAAATGTTTTATGTTCCTATATACTTCCAATCAAAATAATATGATTTCAAATAATTTCAGAAAAACTAACAGTAATACAGTATAAAGAATAATTATATTAATGATTCAAGACTATTAAGAAATATTAACTTTGATTAGCTAAAACCATAACATTATAACATGACCACCTGGAACCTAATGAGCTGACAGTACAGCCTTGAAAGAACGTAAATCTAACATTAAATATTTACTTGCAAATAACATTTGCATAAGACAATATTATTTTGATTCATGTTAAATACTTGTAACACAAACAGGACTATTAGTTCAATATAGCTAACCAGTAGGTCAAAATAATCTTTATATCTTGTTACTATTAGCTGAATATAAAACAAAGATGGAACTAATATACTTCAGAACAGGACAATAAGAAACCATTTGCAGTTATTCTCAGGCTAAGGCGTATAGAAACCACTTACAGTTCTTCCCATGCTAAGGCATTCTTGTTCATCTCTGGATCATTATAATTGTTCACAGGAAAAGTAATAACTAGAGCTGAAGCTGTGTGGAAAGTATTATTCTCAAATCCACCAAAAGCAACTGCAGGAGGTATCAGAGGCCCACCATATGGTGCAAGACAATGAAACTGATACCCATTACTGTAAAATAGAGAGATCTGTCTTAATGTTCAACACAATATACCACATGATAGACTTAACTAACCACACAACTTATCAACATTTTAACCCAGCATGCAACATAAAAGGAAGTTCTTTAAACTACATAGCTAGCAAGCAATGAATAGTTGAAAACTGTTTTAAAAATGAACAACTTCACTTTCCTAATTACCAGTTCACCAAGTAGGTTGTCCATTTAAAGGAGAAAGTCTTTACAAGATGTCTCATTTTTATTACTTATTCTTACTTAAAAAAAATACAGATAAAGACATACTACAGAGCATTTTTAACACTGATAATCCAAGGGTATGTGTTATTCAGGTACACTGATATATGACACAAGAGTATAAAGTATTCCCTGAACATTTTATGCAGAGTTAAAATGATATCAGACAGCAAAAGAAATACAAGCGCACAAGATTACAAATAAGAGAAAATCTTGATTAATACAGTGTAAGATTTAGCATACTGGATTAATTCACTGTAGATAGTATCTGTGTGATGGGTGGACAGCAGAATACAAATATGTCTATTCAGAATTTTGTAGTTAAAATTTAAGTCGGACCAGAATCCCAGTGCAGTATTCCACAATTCTTAGATTACCTACATCAACAGTCTTACCAAATAAACATATTCAGAGGATACAACCCCCCTCATATTAACTAGTACAAGTCTCTATGCCTTTGGGATGAGTATGTCTTTACCTCAGGAGGGCACAATATAGAAACAGAGCCAAACATGTACAAGACTATGGAAAAAGCATGGTGCAAGTTTAAGACCTTTACACAATCAGCTTACAAAATGATGCAGAAAACCTACATAAATATTACATAGACATACCTGACTAAAGATACATTTCATGCTAGTTATGAAATGGTAAAATATCATTTTTCATAACATTATAGTTGTCACATGAAGTAGGTCATTCAATAACACGTTAATGATACTAAGCAGACTAACTTCAGGCAACAAACAAATATGGTTTTATCATTATCATAACAACAGAAAGGCTCAATTTATACAAAAAAAAAATTAAATTTTTTTAAATTTTATGCTATTATAAAAAATACAGAAAGGAAACTAACTGGAATTACCTAGTACAATCCAGTATATGTAAGAGGTATTCATCAGGTAAGGATGTTTCTCCATCATTAAAGAAAGAATGAAAATAGGCAAAGACACTTTGTACAACACACGCTTTATTTTCTGGAGATAAGGGAGCAAGACAGATGTCTGGCAAGGAGATACTGTTGTTCTCTTTTCTGACCACCAGACTTTCTATTTTTCTTTGTAGGTCTAGAACCTGTAGAAAAACAAAATGAAAAAAAAAAAAGATTTAAACATGAGATTGTAACTTCTCTTTAAAAACTGTGATATCCTTTTTATAACTGATAGTAGCTGGCTTTGCTCTTAGTTGCTGAGGTTTGAAACATACATATATATGTACACATACATCCCTACATGTATACAGGTGGACAGTCAGATTTGATTAGCCAGATTATTGTGTTTCTGTGAGGGAGTTAAACAATAGCAAATGGCACATCATGTACATACAACACACCTAATTTTCCCAATGCATACAGTTAAAGCTCTTGACATACATCACCACAGCAAATGAAAAGTTTTAGTTCACTGTTTAGTTTAAGAGTTATTATTTAGTTTATTTAGTCACTTAGTATTTAATTATTTAGTTTTCATAACAAGAATGTTAAAAGTTAATTATTTTAAAAGCAATATTTGTGACAAATTTTGTTATGTAACTCTATACGAGTCGTACATTGTGTATGTAGTTTAATTGTTGTAGTAGGCTTTTGTAATACTGTTGACATCATCTTACTTGAAGCTTCTAAGTTTTTCTTGTTATGTGGGCTAGATATTTCTAGATTTTGCTACTGCGTGTTATAAATGCGTGCAGATACAAAGAGTAAGTTAGAGAAAGCAAAAGTAAAAAAAAAATAAGTGTGGTTGTCAGTTTAGCCATAACTGACAATATCTAAAGTGAGTTTCACAGTTTTATTGTAACAGAGATAAAGATTAATAATTTCCCTTGTCAAAGGGTGTTCTTAAGTAATTGAACCCATATGTGTGGACTTTGATGATAAGGAGACAATTATTTAAAGCTCTGGATACAACTGCGTTAACCAACAGTTAGAGTGGTGATTTTGAAGTGAGTTTCACAGCTTGTATTGTAACAACAGAGATAGGTAAAAATAATTCAACTTGTCAATTGGGTTCTAAAGTAATTGAACCAGCTTGTGTGGACTTTTGACATAAAAGATAATTATTTAAAGCTCTGGATACAACTGTGATAACCCACAGGGTAACGTAAGTGAATTTATTACTGACTGTACTGTGATAAAAGAGAAGGGAAGAAATAATTTGTCTTGTCATTTGGGTTCTAAAGTAACTGAACCAGCCTGTGTGGACTTTTGACAAAAAAGTGAATTATTTAAAGCTCTAGATTCAGCTGTGGTAAACAAGAGTGTAATAAATTTTTGTATATACATTTTACTTGTTTTGAATATGTAATTATTTTAAAATAAGTGGATTGTGTGCTGTAAATTTGTTGCCAACAAGTCACAGACACAGACTGTAAAGAATCCAGCCCTTATACAAAAACCTGACAATGTATGTTTTTTTGGGAGGGAATGGGGGGTGGGAGATACATTTTATGAATATGTCCAGTGCTTCTTTCTCTGTCCAAACAAAAACTGCAAATATATATTTTCCTTCTTTTTATTAACATCTATATGTGACACAGAAAGCAGGCTGATTAAAAATTTGAACACGTTTTTATGCTATATTATCTCATACATGGAAGTTACTACACATGATATCTCACAGAATGAGTACATCATGTGATTCCATCAGATAATGATAATGCTGTCTAGACTTCCTTATTTGTACCTTTCATATTTCAGTGGCTTATGATGCATATGTACTAATTTTCTAAAGACATTCACAATATATTTAAACACTAGACCTATGTTTTAATTTTATTTTTGTATATATTTAAAATTTGGAAGTGCAGCTTCATCAGTACTTAGAGGTTTAGTTATGGAAGCTCCCACATTTAACTTACTCCTCCTCTAAATTTTTAGGACTAATTAAAAGTGCTAAATCATAATCACAACTTGAGATATTAGACTTATTTTTCTAAATCCTGGTCAAAATACAGATTCTTTAAATATTCAGCTATTTGCAATATACAACCGGACTTGATCTAAAACAATTTCTCTTTCAAAATGTTAGACAGTAGCATATCGAAAAAAACATTTTGATGCAGCACTTTTTCAAAGTTAAATAATTTTATAATAATCAAGTTTGACTTCAACATACTTCAAGAAGGAACTCCTTCCTAAATACAGGACCCCAGGTATAGTTAGCAAGGCCATCCTTGTCCACTTCTGCTACAAAAGATTTGTTGTTTGTTGGAGTTATGATGATCTGTTCTACTCGATAGAAAGGGCTGTAGAATAGGTATTTCATTTAACTGGATGATTTTATTTTTTATTCATGTGTAATTAAAAAAAAAAAAGTGAGTTTACATCAATTCAAAGAAAATTAATAATATTGTATACAACAAAATTTATAGTCAATTTTTTCTTCAAATTTTCAACTGTTATCAAATTATTAAAAATAAACTAGATATTAAATATACAAAAAAGTTTATTTTTTAAAATGAAAATTATTGTTTGTTTGTTTGTTATGGATTTCGCACAAAGCTAAACGAGGGCTATTTGCACTAGCCGTCCCTAATTTAGCAGTGTGAGACTAGAGGGA